GCCGCTCTCCCCCCAGCGGCCGAGGGGAGGGTGCCGGGGGGGAGGGCGGCCAGAGCGCTGGGGGGAGGGCGGCGAGCTTGGTGGGCTGGTGCCTGGAGCCGGCCCTGAGCAGCATTGAAAGTTGAGTGGTGTAGGTGAAAACAGCTGCTACTCACATTTATCTCACCTACTTAATGGAACCTGCCATCTTGCTGCACCTCTTAGACTCACTCCTTAAAATAAGTAGTGGCTGTTGCAGCTCAATACTCTTTCTTAGCAATGGGTGGCCATTGTTGTCTTTGGCAGTATACAAATCTAACTGAAAGTACAAATGAATGATTCTGTGTTATTTATGTAGAGCATAACATATAGATGGTATTGCCCATGGGACAGCTGTGCCAAGCCAATAACGTTCTTGACCCACAGGGCTTGCAGTCAGAGACAGTATAGTACAATCCAATCCAGCAAAGGAGCAGTGAGTGGCCCATGTAGCCAGGATGCGTCAGGGAACAAATAGATTTTAAAGTGTCTTTTGCAGAAAAGAGAGATTGCTTTACACACGTTTGCTGTTCCACTGGTAGGGTGGTATGGGAGAAGGTAAGGAGTGGGGCGTTAGCAAAGGAGACAATGGAAACACTGTTTTTATTATTTTGGTTTTTTTTTAAAATTCTGTATAGCTTGTGTTAACCATACTCAGAAATTGAAGATCTATTGTCCAATAATAGTAAACTGAGTTCAGAGGAACTTTTTGTATTAAATAACTGGAGATACTCATAGTACTACAATTTAAATGTGGAACTCACTAAACCCAGCATAACAGGAAATCAAGACATGGAAAAGAAAGGTTGCAATGTAGGTGTTGTGTGAAGATCCTACCACAAGCATTACTTGACTTTTGTGACCCTTGTATATATATTGGGAAAGTGCTATGTGTAAACTGTTCCACACATCTTTTTCTCTAGAGATGGGCCCAAACTAAAACATTTGATCCAAACACCCATGAATTTTATGGCTTTTGAAATCCAGATTCAAATTCTGTGTCTTGTGCCAGTCGCTAAGTTATGACTGTTTGATAAAGGCCTATGGAAAAAAACCTATTTCTTTAAAGGCTGGATACCCTTTGAATGGTTATAACCTTATGGTTATTACTTAGAAAGACAACTACTATAAACGCTCAAACGGGGGGGGTCTCAGAAATCTTCATTCAGTCCATGTGTGACTTTCAAAGGATATAAGGTAGTAGATTACGGCCCCTAACTGTCCATTCACTTTCTGACAATGTAAGATGAGCTGAACTCTGTGAGATACTTTGTTTTTAATGGCTTTATTTTGCACCATCAACATAATATGATAGGATTTTTGTTGACAGGAGGAGAAGAAAAAGCATTCTACTAGATACACTGTTCCTGGTAGGGAAGTTTAAAGTTTCAGATTGAGGAGTTTTGCCTCTGTTCTGAATGCCCAGGATTGGATCCATCTGCCTATATTCTATCATGCAAAAGCAGAATGCATATTTTCTATAGATGAAAGAGTGTGAAAGTCAAACCATCTTACCAACGGTTCATTCAGCAGATTATTCAGCCTATCAAGAAACTGTGAAAGAAAATAATTTATATCTAGTCTATTAGTCCAGAAGCAGTTTATTTTTGTTTTGGGCATGTATGTAGAAAGCTTTGATAAATGTAAACTTTCTGCCAGGGTACCAGCACTGGGGTGTGCTATTATTAATGTACTTGTAGGTACTGGTAAACTCATGAAAATATTACACATTAGATATAAAATTATTCAAGGTGGGGAGTGCTAGGTTCTGGCCAAAGCTCATTGAAAGTTATATCTAGCTTTTTTGTCTTTTTTGTCAGAAGCACATTGGGTTAGTCTGTGTCTAAGGAACTGTGTCTATGTGGTTGTCCCCTTGAATTTTTCATTGCTGTTCTTTAGAAGAGGTACAAAAGCATATTCAGTCAAACGTGTGACAGCAACAGTGGCCAAACTCAGCATGGTTCTGTCACAAGAGAATTGCAGTCCCAGAGCTCATAAAATATGTTTACATACATTACTGCTTAGAAACTGTATCGGGAAGAGAATCCAAATTTGCCCAATCTGTAATTAAAACCACCTTAATGGTTAAAGTGCAACTAGATGCAATGCAAAATTAGGTGTCATTCATAAAGTGCATGGTTCTATATCATTCAGCAGGTGCATATTGAGAAACCCACTTGAGATGAAGTTGGTGAAAGGCATCAGAATCCTAGTCATTGGAAATAATTGGTTACTGATGACTTCTCAGGAAATGATGGATGCAATGAAGTTTTTGATCTTTGCAAACCTTTTAACATTATGGTAAAATTACAGCCAGTCATGTCAGTTTTGACCTCTGAGTGAGCAATTCTCTACATTGGGATAAAAGCTTCTCTTGATTTTGAAGAACTGGTGGTTATGAGTCCGCTCCAGAAGCTATTCATTTATGAATGGGTCTATTTCTCTAGACCGGGAAGTGACTGGCATATTGTCTATGCATGGGTATAGACCGGGGTAGTGAATAGGCGGACTATGGGCCAAATCCAAACCACCAGATGCTTTTGAATGGACCCTGAAATCTTTGTATTCAATTATCATTATTTGTTTTTTTAAATGATTTTCTCTGGAGTCTGGACCTTGACTATACCTTGACCAAGAAATTTGGACCTTGACAAAAAATAATTGACTATCTCTGGTACAGACAATGTAACATGTGACCTGAGTCTTGCTGTGACTAACACAAGCCATATTAGACTCTGGGTGCAGAGGGTGGATCCAAAGGAAGAGTTGCTATGCTGGCTTCAACAGTGAGGGTTGCAATCCCAGTAATTTCTCCAATGTTTCCCCCACTGGCTCCTCGTCAGCAAATTTTCACACAGACAAGATAATCATTTAGGGTTAGCAATGGCTATCCATGGGTGTAACATGGCTTCCTTGTAGTCACCAAGTTGGAATCCATTGCTCACAAATCACATCAAGGTTTTCACCAGCACAGAACCCAAGACACCTCTCTCCAAACAAGGATCATACCTCTAGACAATGAGCCACTTGTTTGCCACAAAGTAGGCTTTCCTTATTTAATATATGAAGAACCTTTGGGTCTGAAAGGCTATAGCTGAGGCTTTGGAATTGCTGTGCCGTGTGTTATCGTGTCTACGATTTTGGAAGGAATTTCCCTTCTGAAGGTGAGACGATGTCTTTGACTGGTGGAGCTACCGTGGCACCAACCTTAGGCTCCCCCAATTCATGAAAGTTCTTTATTTTATATAAACATTTTAGATTAACTGATGTCTTTATTGTGATCTTACGATGCCCTCAAAGGAGGCACCTTTGTATCTAATACTGCTGGAAGAGAAAGATATTTTATTAATATTAATGAGTTCCTTGCAAGCCATTGACTGACATCCTGTCCTGAAAAAGTCCTGTAGGTTGCTTTTGTTTCTTGTGATGTATGTGTGGTACTTCTTCTCCTAGCTGTTTACAAGGGGGAGATAGTAAACTACTCACCTGGCATGGGGACCACACAATAGAGGTAGGGTCCTGCTACACATAACTTGATTGTGGGAGTAGCTTGTTAAAAGCCCCTGAAAGGCTGACTGTCTGCTCCCCAAGGCTGGCTAGCACCCAAGTAAATAGGTAAATAG